GAATTGAACCCAGGGCCTCAGGCTTGCAAGGCAAACGCTCTACCACTGAGCCACCTTCCCAGCCTCTGTCTTCATTTTCTTGAAAATGAAGTGATCCTGATTTTTCGAGGAAAACAACTGATAATATTTACTGGTGCTAAGATTGGAATTTTGATGTAAAAACTAGAATTTGAAAAACACTTGTACCCAAAGCCCAGAGTGGTGACACACATCTGTGGCCTCACTTATTTGGAAGGTTGAGGCAGGAGGATTGTAGTTGGAGGTCAGTCCAGGCAGATTTAGCTCCAGATCCTAACTGCAAAATGGAAAGCAAAATGTGTTAGGCGGGAACTCGAGTGGTAGTGTGAGGCCCTGGGCTGTCTCCCTGTTACCATGATGACGCTAAGGCCCACACCTGGACCGCCACAGTGACCACAGTGAGCCTGACTGCCGCTCAGGGCTGGGAGGGCGTCTTTATGTCAATGGCGATGTAAATGTGATTATGAGAACACTGGATCATAAATCCTGTCAGTTTGGAAGGTTGGCACAACTTGGTGCACACATTCATTCCATATATACATAGCATTATCAAGTTACCTCTGGGTAGAGGATCCATCCATTCAGAGGACTAAACAGACCATGGTTTGACCTCCGGTACCAGGGGTAGGGATGGATAAATTACATCCTAGTGAATTTTGGTGTAGTGTAACGGATAGCCAGGTGTGGGATCCCAGCACTGAGGAGGACGAGGCAGATGAGATTTAGCAGTACCAGTCTCAGGAAACACAGAACAAAAGGTTGTCAACATATTCTTTTCTTCTTCAGTTACAGAGCTGTGTGAGTCCAGATTTTCTTGTATTTTAAGCAGAACAGTGTAAAAGCAGATAGGAGAATCCAGCTGTCTTCTATTAAGTTATTAACTAGATTCACAAAAATCATAAACCAATAATTGTTTTTTGTTTTAATAGAATCACTTTTCATAAAGATTATACGTTTTACTATGTAATGGGATTATTGCTATTTTTAATGAGTACATATTTTGAAATGTAAGTGTTACTTCTGTGATTTTCATCAAGTTATACTTTTTAGTAGTCTAGAAATACTCATGCAGCTAAGGAACTTCAGGTGTGTAGTATATCTGATTTTGGAGAATACAAGATAGGACTCAAGTCTCAGTAGGTGAAGCTTGGAAAATGCTAACATTAGTGTCAGGTATCCCGCTTTCCCTCTCTAGGTCCTGGGCCTTTAAGCAGAAGCGTTATCATTGAGCCACCCCATCTCTAGTCCTGTAGAGTCCATGTTTGGCAGTGGGCTATGAGCTGCCAAAGGTGCACTGGCAAACGGGGTCATTGGAGAACAACGGGGTCATGGGGCAATAGGTTAAGAACCCTTAGTGGAGAGGGGAGAACTCTGCTTGTCCTGTTGGTTACGTATGGAGTGGCATGCTGCCATGTCCATTCAAACTACTTGTCTTTCATCTTTAGGTCTTATTTCTGTCTTCATTAGGGTGTGTCTACTTCCTCAAGTCTTTGACCTACAAAGTCTTTTTAACATTATTCTATGTTCTGTAATCCCTAGATATTAAAAGCTAATGCCATTGTCCACACCTTAAAATTCTTCTCCAGCTCAAAAACGTGCCTGGTGCCGGTGGCTTACACCTGTCATCCTAGCTAAAGAGGCTGAGATCTGAGGATCATGGTTTGAAGACATCATGGCAGGAAAATCCATGCGACTCTTATCTCCAATTAACTACCAAAAAGCTGCAAGTGGAGCTGTTGCTCAAGTGGTAGAGCACTAGTCTTGAGCAGAAAAGCCCAGGGACAGCACATGGGCCTTGAGTTCAAGCCCCAAACCAGGCACAAATAGATAGATTGGGTGTAAAACCTTAGTATGAAAAAGGGATTACCTGGTTTTTAAAAGATGCATATGGGGGCTGGTGGTGTGGCTGCAGAAATGCACCATCATGTCCAGTACGCTCCTAATAGAAACAAATGCACTGTAAAATAGAAATAAATGCGCTGTAAAACTAGTTCTAGTCCAGGTCTTGGAATGTTTAAAAAAATCATTATGTCATTATTTTAACAAAGTATTTATAGCAGTGATATGGAAAAAATTTTATAATTAACCATTTGAGAATCCGAAAACAGCATAGACCTTACAGAATAGCGTACTAAGTGGACTGAGTATCTTGGCTAGGAAAGCATTGGGAAATAATGGAGACAACTTGTGCTGCTTTTTTCGCTCATACCGGCTTAGGAAGCAGAAGTGGTAATAGGCTTTAACACCGATGAGGTTTTTTAGGTTTTGTTTTTTAAATATTTGGCCAGTGGGATTCCTCTGCACCAGCCAGCATCTTCTAATTCCTGTGTAAACTCCAGCAGCAACCCATTTTCTTTCTTCTTTTTGTCAACATGCCATTCCCCTACTGAATGAAGAAAGATGACCTTTCTCCTCCTAACCTGCCCAGCCCACATGGTTTCATTCCCCTCCCATGAGTCCTCATTTTGCTTTGCTGTTGGGCTTCTTGTTTCCTATAGAGGCTAGCCTGTCACTTCAGGGTCTAGCATGTGCCAGGCCCCAGCATCACTAAAAGAAACCAAAACTGAACAACCTCCACCAAACAGACCTATGCTACTTTAGAGATTACTCTGCTTAAAGCCAAACTGAAGTTTTGTTTACTCCCATTAATAATTTTGTGTTGTTTCTCCTAAATGATCTTATGTTTAAGATTATGATGTTTATGCCTGCTCTGGTGTTTGTGCATAGATGCTGCCTCCAAGCTAGGGGAATTATAAGATTCTCGGGGACTAGATCACATGTTTTTCTCTTGTTCTTGTTACCGTCTCTTCCTTTGTCATATGTATTCCTACCTTTGCCAAAACAAGACTTCATGGGGAGAAAATTGGATTTACAGAAGAAAGAACCAGTCTGTAAGCTACTTGAGAGACAGAGAGGAGGATTGGTAGAGCTCAAGAGGAGGCCCTGAGTGCAGTCTTCAGTGCTGTCAGAAAGGGAGAGGAACCCAGAGCCAGTGGCTTCTACCTGTATCCGTAGCTGCTCAGGTGGCTCAGATCTCAGGATCTTGATTTAAAACAAGCCTGGACAGGAAAGTCTATGAAACTCTTTATCTCCAATTAACTATCAAAAAGTGGGAAGTGGTGCTGTGGCTAAAATGGGAGAGTGCTAGCCTTGAGCAAAAATGCTCAGAGGCAGAGCCCAGGCCCTGAGTTCAAGCCCTGGGACCTGTGTGTGCACACATGCATATACACACACACAAAATGAGAGAGAGCACGCCAAGATAGAACAAGAATGCATATATGAGTGCAAGCAAGCACTAGACCCAAGTACAGTGAACTTTTCCTAAAGTCATTTTACTTTACTTATTTTTGGGGGGCAGAGAGGGTCTGGTCGTGGGGCCTGAACTCTGGGCCGGGGCGCTGTCCCTCAGCTCTTCAGCTCAAGGCTAGCGCTCTACCACTTGAGCCACAGCGCCACTTCCAGCTTTTTTCTTTTTGTTTATGTGGTGCTGAGGAATCGAACCCAGGGCCTCATGCATGCAAGGCAAGTGCTCTACCACTGAGCCACCTTCCCAGCCCATTTCACTTATTTTCTTTGGATAGTTTTGGCTTTCTACTCCCACTTGGCTTTGCTTTTGCTCTTTGCTTGCTCACTGCCAGTGACCTACTATCTGAGCCATACCTCCAGTCTAGTTCTTTTGCTGGTTAATTGTAAATGGAGTTTCACAGTCTTGAACCTTGATCCTCAACACCTCAGCCTGCTGATTAGGCAGGATTACAGCTTGTGAACCACTGGTACCTAGTCCAAATAGCTTTTGAAAGGAGTATGGCTATTTCTGATCCAGAACAAGGGAGGCGGGGTGGGTATGGTGTGTGCACTAAGAAGGGCCTGGGCTAAAGGATCTGGCTTTTTCACCTCACAGACCTGGGGTCCCTGTTCCTCCCTTCCTCTCTCTTTCCTCCTTTCTTCTTCTTCTCTGTCCAAATTTTATTCTAAAACTTTCTTACAAGCCAGGCAGTGGCTTATGCCTATAATCCTAGCTACTCAGGTCGCTGAGATCTGTGAATCAAAGTTTGAGCCCAGCCTGGGCAGACATATCCTCAAGATTCTTTTTTTTTTGGTCTGGTCATGGGGCTTGAACTCTGGGCCTGGGCGCTGTCCCTCAGCTCTTCAGCTCAAGGCTAGCGCTCTACAACTTGAGCCACAGCACCACTTCCGGCTTTTTTCTTTTTGGTTATGTGGTGCTGAGGAATCGAACCCAGGGCCTCATGCATGCAAGGCAAGCGCTCTACCACTGAGCCACCTTCCCAGCCCATCCTCAAGATTCTTATCCTCAGTTAACCAGCAAAAAACTGGAAATGGACACATGTCTCAAATGAGTGAAAAAGCTTAGCATGAACATAAGGCCCTAAGTTCAAGTCTCAGTAGTAGCACCAAAATAAAACTGAATACAAAGCTGTCCTGTCATTCACTATCTATTTAATTTCTTGTCATTTACCATGATCTGATTATTTTTCTCCAGCTTGAATTTGAGCTCTAAGAAGGCAAGGACACCATTTTGATCATTGCTTAATTCCCAGTACAAAGGATAATTCCTGATTTGTAGTAGCGACAGAGTAAATAGTTCTTGAATGATTGATCAAATGGCCGAGCATGTGTCCTGAGAACAATAGGTTCTCATTGGTATTAATAAAGCATATGGTAAGGCTCCCCAAAATGTTGTGAAGCAAGCAATGTCTGGCCAGGATTGTGCTGTAGGAGCATGTCCGGAGGAGGTGGAAAGGGTGTTAGGCATGGGAGAACATGTACGGGCCGGCATCAGAAAGAGCGGGCAAGTGAAGACTTCCTGAGCTGCCCTTCATTGATTTCAAGTGAATTACTCTCTTTGAGTGATGCGTGTGTCTCGACCATGCTGTGCTAACCTAATGTGTTCTTTTCCTGACAGGAGGCTCAACAGCACTCAGGGGGAGATTCGAGTTGGTCCGAGCCATCAGGTAAAGCACGTTGCCCTCACTTCTGCAGTGGACTTTTCTCTGCATGTTCGGTTCAGCAGTATCCTAGTGCTGTTACTGCTATGGGCAGTTTCTCTAAATGTACAGGCAGGGCTTTCGTTGTTGTCTGCAGCAGTGTCTCACTGGGTACTCAGAGCGTCCTTGAACTCCCAGCCTTCCTGCCCTCCTGAGGTATAACATGACAGGCCTGCACCACTGTACCTTGCCTTGCTTCAGAGTTACTGTTTATTTTCTTTTCTCAGATCACTACATGGTTTAAAACATGGGTGAAGTATGCAAAAGTGTGTAGTTCACCTCTACATCTCCATAGCACTTTTGATCTTATGAAACTAAAACTCTGTCCTCTTGAAGAAGGAACTCCTCCTCCTCTTGCCTGAATTCCCAGAACCCTTACTTCCTGTCTGCCTGCTCCACTGCTCCATGTCACCTCCATGGAATCACACAGCATTTGCCTTTTTGTGCCTGACATCTTGTGTGCTGTCCTTCCGATGCATGCATGGTGCCAGCTGAGTTGTATGCGCCGATCACAGCCCAGTTCTCCATGCACCCATTGGTGAATATTTACTCACCACACACTTGGAGAATGTTTTAGGGTGGGAGTGAGCTGAGTGGTAGAGCTCTGGTTCTTTTTTCCCCATCACAAAAAAAAAAAAACAAAACAGTAAAAACACGAGGAAAGGGAATGAGGAAAGGGGGGAAAATGATTAAAAACAAAACATCTTTTCTTCGAGAAGCGTCAGGATGCTTAGTATTTTGTGTCTGGAAGCTGTGAAGTTGTGAGCTGTGTTGCCAGGTGTTTGCCTCCTCGGAACCTTATAGGTCAGGGTGCCCTGCCTGAGACTGCTCTGGTTTAGCAAGGCTGCTCACATCTCACAGATCAGGACGTCCTGGTAGGCCAGACCTGGGCTGTGCTGAGCTATGCTGAGTTTCTCTCAGTGCTTGCCTGTTGTTCACAGGTTGATAGCTGAAATTCCATGGTTCTTAGGGGTGTACGTGTGTGTGTGTGCTGGTGTGATAGCTGTTCCATGGTTCTTGGGGGGGGGTGTGTGCTGGCGTGTGCTGGCTCTGAGTCTTTTTTTTTTTTGTCTGTTACATCTGGGCCTGGGCACTGTCCCTCAACTTCAGCTCAAGGCAAGTGTTCTACCACTCAAGCCACAGAGCCACTTCTGGTTTTCTGGTGGTTAATTGGAAAAAAGTCTCATGGACTTTTCCTGCCTGGGCTGGCTTTAAACCATGATCCTCAGATCTCAGCCTCCTGGGTAGCTAGTATTACAGGCATGAGCCACTGGCACCTGGCTTGGTCCTGAGTCTAGGCACTGTCCCGAGCTCTTGCTCAAGGCCTAACATTCTGTCCTTTAGCCACCATTCCACTTGTGGCTTTTTTGGGGGTAGTTTATAGTAGAGAACAGTCTTAATCACTTTCCTGCCCTGGCTCACTTTGAACCACAGTCCTCAGATTGCAACTTCTTGAGTAGCTAAGATTTACAAGTGTGAACCACCTGCAGCTTAGATGCACTTTTTTACTTGGCACTTTGTGTCTGCCTTTGGCCTTTGTTGTACATTGTATGGTGTGCTTATAATTTGTTGGCATCTTTTTTTTTTTTTTTTTTGTCGGTTGTAAGGCTTGAACTCTGGGCTTTAGCGCTGTCCCCAGCTTAAGGATAGCGCTCTACCACTTGAGCTACAGCGCCACTTCCGGTTTTCTAGAGGTTTATTGGCGATAAGAGTTTTATGGACTTTCCTGCCCGGGCTGGCTTTGAACCAGGATCCTCAGATCTCAGCCTCCTGAGTAGCTAGGGTTACAAAAGGCGTGAGCCACCAGTGCCCGGCTAATTTGTTGGCATCTTAAATGAAACATAACAGGTGGTAAGAGGAAGGGGTCGATTGCCCTGGATGTTCCCAGCAAGAACATCTCCTCACTGTAGATTTCTACCCCATGGAGAAAATGGGTTTTGAATGATGAGTATGGATTAGCATATATGCTGAGATGAAGGCTGAAGCGTCAGGAACTGTGACTGCCATATTTAGAGACATCAGCTACTGGCAGAAGTGGTTCTAGCTACTCAGGAAGCTGAGATCTGAGGAGTGCAATTCAGAGTCAGTCAGGAAAGTCTGTGAGACTCTTGTCTGCAGTTACTACCATGCATAGCCTTCCTGGGATGTCTGTTAGGTGAGCCTGAGCACCCCCTGGACTGTAGGCTTTTTGTTACTGTTCAGTGGTTCTGAGAGGCAGGGCCTTGTGTATGCTAGGCAAGCATTCTACACCAAGCTGTCATCCCCAGCCCTGGGCTGTTTCTGCTGTGGTCTTTGTTTTGTTATGCTTTGTTTTGTGATGCAGGGTCTCTGAAACTAGGTTGGCTTTGAACTTGTCCTCTCTCTGCCTCTGTCTCCCTGGTACAGAGATTACACGAGTAAACCACCATACCCTCTTTCCACTGTGTTTAATCAAAGGCTCACCGCTTGCTTGACATCACCTAGGCACATGTCCTTTTCTCTTGCTTTCTCTCTCTTTTTTTTTCGGTCAGTTGTAGGGCTTGAACTCTGGGCTTGGGTGCTGTCCCTGCACTCTTCAACTCAAGGCAAGCGCTTTACTGGTTGAGCCACAGTGCCACTTCTGGTTTTCTAGTGGTTTATTGGAGATGAGAGTCTCACAGACTTTCCTGCCCAAGCTGGGTTTGAACCGAGATCCTCAGATCTCAGCCTCCTGAGTAGCTAGGATTAAAGGCGTGAGCCACCAGCATCCGGCTTCCTTTTGCTTTCTCTTGTGCTATATATATATATATATATATATATATATTTTTTTTTGTCGGTCGTGGGGCTTGAACTCTGGGCCTGGGCGCTGTCCTCAGCTCCTCAGCTCAAGGCGAGCGCTCTACCACTTGAGCTACAGCGCCACTTCCGGTTTTCTGGTGGTTTATTGGAGATAGGAGTCTCACGGTCTCTCCTGCCCGGGCTGGCTTTGAACCTTGATCCTGAGTGAGTAGCTAGGATTACAGGCGTGAGCCACCAGCGCCCGGCATTCTCTTGTGCTATATTTTATCCCCCATTTTTCCTCTCCTACTCCCACAATGTGTTTCCAGGGTAGTCAGATTTACATATCACATAAAAAGATTCCTACCTTAATAAAATAAGTGGTTCTTAAGGAAATGGTGCTTAGATTCTTAGCAAAGGAGATTTACTTTATTGACTCTTGCACATTTTCATTTAAACTCAGATGTTTATTTCAGATCAAATCTTAAGTATATGTTTAAGTACATTTTATTTTTTAAAAAGGAAGGTTTGGAGCACCACAAATTATAGGACATCTTAGCTATAATGAGAAGTGCTTAATAGGAGGATTGCTGTCCAGGCTGGCCCTGGAACAAATAGAGACCATATTTCAAAACAGAACAGAAGCAGTTGGAGGTATAGAGAACCCCTGGGTTCAAGCCTTCATTCCCCTACCTCCCCCAAGAAAGGCATGTTTGTAAGATTTTTTTTTTTCGCAGAAGAGGGAAAATTTTAATGACCTCCAAAAAATGCACACTGTAAACGTTTGTAAGATTTTATATCACAAAGCATGAGCAGTTTCAGCCAGGTGCCAGTGGGCTTCCTGTCGTTGCTGGGATGATGGACACACCACCGGGCCCAATTTCTTTTAATTTTTTTTAATTTTTAAATTTTATTTATTTAGCCAGTCCTGGGGCTTGAACTCTGGGCCTGGGTGTTGTGTTGTCCCTGAGCTTCTTTTGCCCAGGGCTAGCGCTCTACCAGTTGAGCCACAGCACTACTTCTGGTTTTTGTGTAGTTAATTGGTGATAAGAGTCTCATGGACTTTCTTGCCCAGGTTGGCTTCAAGCCATGATCTGCAGATCTCAGCCTCTTGAGTAGCTAGAAATACAGGCACAAGCCACTGCCACTGACTTTTTTTTTTCTGTCAGTCATGGGGCTTGAACACTGGCCCTTAGCTCTTCAGCTCAAGGCTAGCACCCTACTACTTGAGCCACAGTGCCACTTCCGGCTTTTTTCTGCTTATGTGGTGCTGAGGAATCGAACCCATGGCTTCATGCATGAGAGACAAGCACTCTACCACTGAGCCAACTTCCCAGCCCTCACTTTAATTTTTGATGAAGGTGAGATTCACTAATTTAAGTTCACCATTTTAAAGTGAACAATTCAGAGCTAAGGTTATGCTTAGAGCACTTGCTTTCATCATGCCTGGGGTCTGCAAAATAGCATTGCAAAATTAATAATAATAATATACACCGTTCCATGATGGTTGTGCAGCTATCACCTCCGTGTGTGTGTGTGTGTGTGTGTGTTGCTCTTCATCCTGTAGCTGTTCCCTCTTCTGGCATTCACACGTCTGTATGATTCAGTCTTTGGCTTACACTTGCATGGGTCTATTTGACGCTGTTTACTGCTCTGTAAAGTGTCACTGAGCCACCTCTGGTGACTTGGTGATGGTAAGAGGTCCTGGTAGGTGACACAGACCAGTGTGGATAACTCATGGTTTTGCTGGAGACAGGTTTTGTGCAGTGTTCGTCTGTCCCCAGGATGATCTTGTCAAGAAATGTCTGCCTGCCACGTGCCTCCATGGTGACTGCTCCATCCCTGTCTTCCAGGCCAAACTTCCCGATCTGCAGCCATTCCCCTCCCCGCATGGTGACACCGTGACCCAGCAGGAGGAACTGGTGTGGATGCCCGGCGTCAATGACTGTGACCTCCTCATGTACCTGCGGGCAGCAAGGTAATGGCGCCTCCCCCTCCCGCGCTCCCAGCTGACCCACAGGTCACAGCGTCTCCTTCCCACTGACATTTTACTCCTGAGTGGGGCATCTGCTCCAATTCTTACAGAGACAATTAGTTTGACATGTTAAAGTCATATTTTTCCTTGATATTTGCCTCATATCAGACTTTGAAACTCTTCAGAAAGACAACTGGCCGTTATCAGCCCCTCTTATTCTGTCTAGCTGAGTAATTCACTCACTCTATCTTACAAATTCGTGACCATTTTGTGTCTTACCTACATGGGGCCACTGGTCTGCGACTATCCCACAGTACTTGCTGTCCAGACATGGCACTGTGCAGGCAGAGCCTTCCACGTCTGCAGCAGTGCTGGCACGCGGCGGTGTCACTGTGTGCAGAGGAGTGAGGTGCCGGCTGCACTCCGCGGCGCTGCTGCGCATGCGGCACACGGTGCAGAGAACAGCGGGTAGCAGAGGTGCACCTGTAAGGCACTTGTGAGTCTCTGACTTTTCATTTCATGGAAAGGTGGTTTATAGATGAGAAGAATAATTTCACATGTACTGTGAAAACTTAAAAACCTTTTCAGCTAGATGCCAATGGCTCATGCCTGTAATCCTAGCTACTCAGGAGGCTGAGATCTGAGGATCACTATTTGAAGCCAGCCTGGGCAAGAAAGGCTGTGAGACTCTATCTCCAGTAAACTACTCAGAATGGCTCACGTGGTAGAATGCTAGCCATGAGCAAAATAAGTTCAAGGACAGAGCCCAGGCCCAGAGTTCAAGTCCCAGGATTGGCAAAAACAAGCAACACCTTTTCATTAGTATCTGGTAATTGTGCATATAGAGACTTTTCTCTGAAAAGGTCAAAATCTAGTGGAATAATCTAGTGGGTTATGTGTGTGCTCACATCTGAAATCCAAGGAGTAATAACTCAGAGGAAGAAGAAAGACAACTGGATGAGGAGGGAGGAAGGACTTACAGGAGCTGAGGCCAGACTCTGAAACTCTGGTTTACCATGGGATTTGGACTGGGTTGAAAATAATAGTTAAAGCCACCAGGCAAATGTTGCTATGTGCTGACGTTAACAATGTCCTTTCTTCCAAAGGAGCATGGCGGCCTTTGCGGGGATGTGTGACGGGGGCTCCACAGAGGATGGCTGTGTGGCAGCGTCTCGCGATGACACCACTCTCAATGCATTGAACACAGTAAGTGTGTGAAAGCCACCTTGGGCTGGCTTCAGGGTCCAGTGATGGCCACAGAGACCATGCAGCCAGCAGTGTCAGGAGCCACGGCTGGGTGTGGTGCTGGGATTGGAAGATGAATTGCAGTCTTGGCAGTCCATGCGTGCAGAACCTGGTCCGTGCCTGTACTGGGGACAGTGGCGAGTCTTAGTCAGGTCCCATTTCAGAGGTTAGCAGGTATGTACCTCTCTCACAGCTGGGGACTCTACCTTACAACACCTCCCTAAAGGCCCAAGAACAGTCACTAAAGAGATCAGAAGTGAGTGAAATAAGTGACTGTCCTCCTGAGTCTGTCACATGACATACTCCCAAAATGACTCCGCTGCTTTAATCTGTTAGCAGCCATAGAACAGTCAAAAGGGAGTTGGGGTTGAGCTCAAGTGGTAGAGCGCTCGCCTTGAGCTGAAGAGCTGAGGGACAGCGCCCAGGCCCAGAGTTCAGGCCCCACGACCGACCAAAAAAAAAAAAAAAAAACTATATAGAACAGTTAAAAAGTAACAGTACTCATGACACTGCAAACTGTAGGGTTGCAGACTCCAGTTTAGTATTACTGCTTTATGACCGTTCATTTTGTGTTTCGAAAATACTCTTAAGGAACAATAAAGGGAAAGTACTGTGTTCTGAAGTTACATTGAATTAATTCCTTTTTATGTGGTTATTAAAGTAAAGTTTTCAAATCCAAAGAAGTAATTGTGAATAATGATAGAATATATAGTTCTACTACAATGATAATGTATGTGGTTATATGTGTTTATTAGGACATTAAGGATGAGGCTAAGCAGGTCTCCTAATGGCTGCCTAAATATTTTTGGTCTTTAAGGGGTTAGTATAGTTGGAAGGGACTTTTTAGATCATCTGTCCACATCCAAAGCTTAAAAGATTTAGAAGACTTACTGAACGCTTACAATCCAAAAAACTCATTGGGAGGAAAACAATCTTTATTTCCAATTTAGAGATGGTTTTACTCTAATTTCTACTTGTTACTGAACACATAAACAGGTATCTGAATGACATGGTTGAGTTTATTCCTGGTCTGACTAGGGTTTAGAGGTGTTACATAATACTGTAATAGTTCTTACGTTTTGGAGATTGTTAGTGATCCTGCTGGGAATATGCTCTTCTACGGAGCTGTGCACTCTTCTACATTCACTGAAGAAAGTACTGTGTGTGCTTTCTCATTGATTTGATAGTTAACTAATTTTTTTAAAGATAAAGAATCTTTAAAATGAGCATGTGATAGAGCCAGAAGAAGTCATTGAGAATATTTTACAATTGAAGAAATGGAGACTCAGATTTGTGATATCGTAGACAATGCCTATGCCAACTCAAGCACCTTGAAAGTGTGTGTGATTTCAAAGAAAGTCTTTGATAGGAGCTTCTTTCTATTATTATTTTTTAACTGGTACTGGCGCTTACCCACACAGGGCCTGGTTCCTGTCCTTTAGCTAAATTTGAGCTCAAGGCTGACACTCTACCACTTGAGCCATAGCTCCACTTCTGGCTAATTGGGTGGTTAATTGGAGATAAGAATCTCACAGAATTTCTTGTCCTGGGCTAACTTTCAGTTCCTGTCCTCAGATCTCAGCCTCCTAAGAAGCGAGGGTTATAGGCATGAGCCACCAGCACCCAGCTCATAAAATTTTTAAACAAAAATTTGAATGTTGCTCTACGCTGGTGACAGCACTAGTGGCTCATGCCTGTAATCCTAGCTACTCAGGAGACTAAGATCTGAGGACAGGGTCTCAAAATTAGCCCAGGGATTTTTTAATGACAGTGCAGCTAGTTCGTTGGTGGTGGTGTTTTTTGTTTTTTGGGTTTTTTTTGTGGGTTTTTTTTTTTTTTTTGTGGGTCATGGGCTTGAACTCTGGGCCTGAGCACTGTCCCTCAGCTTTTCAGTTCAAGGCGAGCACTCTACCACTTGAGCCACAGCCCCACTTTCTGGTGGTTTATTGTAGATAAGAGTTTCATGGCCTTTCCTTCCCAGGCTGGCTTGGAACCTGGATCCTCAGCTCTCTGCCTCCTGAGTAGTTATGATTACAGGTGTAAGCCACAAGCGCCCAGCTAGTTGGTTGAGTTTTGAAAAAGAAGATTTTAACTATATTGCATTTTTTGGCAGCCCATTCTGATTCTCATTCTAAACCCTTCAAAGGTTTTGTAGAGGCTGGGAATATGACTTAATGGTAGAGTGGTTGCCTAGCATGCATGAAGCCCAAGTTTGATTCCTCAGTACCACATACACAGAAAACGCCCAAGTGGAGTTATGGCTCAAATGGTAGATGGTAGAGTGCTAGCCTTGAGCAAAAGAAGCTCAGGGACAGTGCATAGGCCCGAGTTCAAGCCGAGAGAGAGAGAGAGAGATTGAGAGATTGATTTTGTGGAAAATAATTGTATACAGAAATAGTTCTGGCTACTATTGCCCATTGTCCTTTGTGGCAAGCTCCTTGGGAAGGAGTGGCACTTCTTCCTGTATGGGCCACCCAAGATGGCTCAACAATCTTGTGTTCTGTAATCCTGGCACATTCAACCACTGAAGGACTGTAGTGCTTGTGTGTGCTTGATTCGGCAGCCATGGAAATCACTTAGCACTGTTTTAGCTTTCGTGCTTCTCTATTGCACTGGCTGCTGAATGAAAAGTGAAAAATGGAAAATCTTGTAGGAGTTTATGTTTATTTTGATTGCCTCCAACCTGTTGACTTTGTATTCTTTGGTCTGCCAAGTCCCTGAGTCCTGGTAGCTTTCTGGTTGGTTCCTTCTGTTTTTCTCTGTGCACAGTCGTGGAATGTGCAGATGTGTTTTCCCCTGCTGGTCTGTGTGTTTGATTTCTTTTTCATGCTTTATTATACTGCCCTGAGCCTCCTGATTACAGTAGAAAGCAGCGAGGAGAGGCTGTCTTTGTCTCTTTTCTGGTCTGGCTAAACATTCACTGTTAGTGTTATGTATACTTATTGCTGATTTTTAAAATTAGGCTGAGAATGCACATTGAATTTTGTCAGTTTTTTTCCTTTTGTTTCTGCCCTACTAACTTGAAACCTCTACCTTAGATCTCCTGAGTGAGTAGCTAGGATTACAGGCGTGAGCCACTGACATCCTACTATTTTTTCCATTTTTGTTTTTTGCCAGCACTGGGGCTTGCACTCAGGGCCTGGGTGATGTCCCTGAGCTTTTATGCTCAAGGCTAGTGTTCTACCACTTGAGCCACAGCTTTGCTTCTGGCCTTTTTGGATTACAGGTGTGAGCCACTGGCACCTGGCTTATTCTTCACTTTTAAATTAAGTCTTTGTCTGATTTGACATCAGAGTAATACTGTTTTTTAAGTTTGTAATGCATTTGTTGTTGCTAACTGTAGGAAGGATGTTTATTATTCTTTAAGGCACAGACATCACAATCTGAATATTGGTGGGTATTTTTTAAATTGCAGGTGGACATAAGCCTATCCATAGTTTATATTTCTTCGTGTGTCACTATGTTGGGATTGAGTTTACAGCCTTGAGCTTGCTAGGCAGGCACTCTACCACTTGAACATCCTCCACCAGCCCAATGTATCACTTCATTCATGCATTATCTTTTTTTTTTGGTTGGTTGGGGCCTGAACTCTGGGCCTGGGCGCTGTCCCTCAGCTCTTCAGCTCAAGGCTAGTACTCTACCACTTGAGCCACAGAGCTGCTTCCAGTTTTCTGGTGGTTTATTGGAGATAAGAGTCTCATGGACTTTCCTGCCCGGGCTGGCTTTAAACTGTGATCCTCAGATCTCAGCCTCCTGAGTAGCAAGGATTATAGGCATGAGCCACCAGTGCCATGTGAGCCACTGGTGCCCCCCTCTTTTCATTCTTAACATTGTTTCTTCTTGATTGACCTTAATAAAGATTGGTAGCAATGTTCAGTCTTGAGAGATAGCTAGAGTTTGGGGCTAGGGCTCAAGCAGTAAAATGCCTTCCTAGATAGCATGAGACTCCCAAGTTCAAACCCCAGGGCTTTGTTCCTCCCCACCTCTTGAGGGAAAAGAAATTTAATTTTTTCCCTCTTTTTTAAAGTATATTTTTAATACCTATTCAGGGGTTTAATCCAACATTTTTTTCCTAGCTTCCAGAAATGGAATCTTATATAACTGATTTTATCACCAATTTTAAGGGTTTTACTAAACTAATACTGATTTTTTTTTCTTAGCCCTCAAGTATTTTTCTTGTTTCCTAATGAAATTAAACTTTTTTTGAATTTTTGTCCTTAGTAATTTATTATCATTTTTATGCTTATCTTTTATCACCACCACTATATGTATATACTTTAAGAAAAATTTATAATCACATAGTGGAGATTTTACCTCAGGCTGGACAGCTTTATTCCCTGAAATACGGATGGCTGTTAGACATTCGAATTTAGCTTTTTACATCTCCAAGAGAGTGTGTATTTGTTTTCTTATTTATGTAAGTCCACATCTCCTTCAACAAAAGATTCAAAGCGTCTACTAGCTTAATGGTTTTCTACCTGTGATCTACAACTACCAAAATTTGTTCAGCATTGAGTATCAGTCTTTGTTTCTGAGTCATACCCCAACACTGGGGACATTGATGTTATTAAAGTCCCATGGCAGGATATGCAGCTAAGTAGTCTGTCTCTTTTATTCTAATGAAGTAAGTCTATTTGAGGGGAGGCTCTGCTATTCATCTTGACTTCACTAAAGCCTCCAGGTTTGGAACCCTTTGCAGAACTTGGGGGAGTAAGTGAATGTGGGGATTTCTTATCTCCCAAAGGCAGCTTCATGGGGGAAGAGGGGACTGCGGACTTTCTTCACAATTTGAAGGAAGTATGTGTTCAAGATCCTCCTGATGATCAGCCACGCCCACCCCTTCCCTTGGATGCTTCCCCCTACATTGTTCTCTGCTCAGATGAGGCAGTATTAAATGGTTACTGTTTGATGACTTGGGTTAAAGTAGGGTTTGGGGGCTGGGAAGGTGGCTCAGTGGTAGA